GCAGATGTCAGGAAGATTTGGGTAAATGAACGGATGATGGAACAAACGAACTGCTTTTTACTCTTTCCTCTCTCCTTCCACTCAGCTCGACCCCTTTGAATCCAGCGATCCCTTTTCATCCTCCAGTGTCTCCTCGAAAGGATCAGGTGAGACCGATGGCTTATTTTCCTTCCTGACTATTCCTCGGGCAGTAGAGAGCCTATCCAGTTGACGTTTGAGTTTCCAAAACCGGTGTACCCTTGGTATCTGTGTCATTAGTCAGTGGCACCAGATCTTTACTGAAACTGTTAGGCTAAAACAATCACCCCTGGCTGCTATCCTCCCGAGCAAGAGGTGGCCTCTTTCCAGAAAGTACCTCCACCAGGAGGAACTCAGTACTAACACCAGTGTTATCAGTTACTATTTACTCGTTCTTCCTTATACACCTTTCACTTGTATCTTTGGATTTTTACCTAGAAGAATCCAAAGTTTGACCTAGCAGACTGGCTTGTTTTGTGGGATCTGTGTTTGAAGGAGCCTCATCTCCCAGCCTAAAACTCACAGATGCGCTCTCAAGCCTTTAAGTAACAGGAGCAGTTGTGACTCCCCTTTCTTTTGGGAACAGTCCCTGCTTGGTCCTTGCAGCTTGTGCGTGTTGGTTAGCAGAGTTTGGAATCACAGGCTGGTGTGTCACCTACTCTAGGCAAACCACTCCTAGGCCAAAGGAGGAAGCTCAGCAGAAATCTCTACCCGCAGATGACCTCCCCACATAAATTGTGTGGGTGGCGGGTTGCCCTTGAATTGCTCTTCCCCGCCCCTCACACTCTCCCGCTGATCCAGTGGGACAGCAAGCTGTGCTCCCTCAGGAACTTGTCCCTCCTTTGATGACTGAGACAGAGCCTGCTGTCATGGTGAGAAACCTTTCCCCGAGACACAGGAACCATGAGCCAGAGCGGGCAGCAGGGGCCTCGTTGAGACCCTCATGCAGATGCTCATCTGTGGTGAATATAATTGCAACCTTCCTGAATCTCCTGATTTGGGGTTCCATTTAGTATTTTCTCCTTTGCCCCCAACAGGCATGTTCAGTAAAGACCTGTAACTCTGACTTTGTTGGTGCTGATTGCAGATCCGTTTGGAACCTTAGACCCCTTCGGAAGTGGGTCCTTCAATAGTGCTGAGGGCTTTGCTGACTTCAGCCAGATGTCCAAGGTAAAGCCTCTCCCATGGAGCCCCCGAGCCTGTGCCTGGGTCTTTGTGCATCTTGTTGTAGCATGGGCTGCCAGGTGTAATGGTTAATGTCAGTATGTATTTTCCCAGCACCTTCCAAATTCTGAAATGCACCCCCACATAAGGTTGTGTGTAAATGGATGGGGGTCCTGGAAGGCACCCGTGGCTGTGACCAGGTGCATTATCCTCCCTCTGGGGGAAACTGCCAGAACCTCAAATCCCGCCCAGTGGTGTGGTCACTCTGGGGGCATCTGATGACCGTCAGATCCCAGGCAATGAAGTTGAACATAAACTCAAGAAGGCATTAGACAGCAAGTCCCCTGGATGTCACAGGTGGTGGCCTGGTATGCAGAGGGCGGAACTGCCGGCCGACAGGTGCGAGGCACCAGAGTGTGGGCCAAGCAAGTGTTGGAAGCCGCCCCTAGGACAGAACTCCAGAGGGTGCTGTACATTGAGGGCTGGACTCAGTGAACAAATATGCAGGTGAAACATGAGTTAAGAAGGACACAATCATGCTGTTCCTGGGCCGGACAGTGTCTCTGTCCAGACCTGACCACATAATGCTGTAAACTGACTGTGGATCTTTAACAGAGTGAGAACACACGCTGTATGTAGGTAATGTCCAGACTGGACAGATCAAGAAATAACAGTAGAAGCCCATAATTACTAAGGTAAATTCCAGAAGAAACTGCTAAAAAGTTGAAATTGGTGGCTGTGGAGAGTGGGAATAGGGGATGGGGTGAGGGTCTACTGTACTTCCTTGTAACACCGAGGGTCCTTTGATTTCGATGGTGAACATGTTTCTTTGATAAAAATTAAGGAAAGCAGCATTGGGTGTGCCCTGTCTTGGCTTCCAGTCCCTGCCCATCCCAGTCCCTGCATGTGCTCTGTCTCTTCCCAGCAGCCCCTGGCAGGTGAGGGTGGGACCCTGTCCTCAGTAGAGCTCCCCTGGCCACAGCAGTCTTGCTGCTTGCTGCGCGCATTCCACGATCTTCACCAACTGCCTGCCCAGGTGCCGTCAGCACTGGGGGGAGAGGCAGACACGACAAGCATACAACCCCCTGACCCCAGGCCCATGTCCCAGCTGGGGAAGGCTCACAAGCTGGATGGGGGCTCACCTGGAGCAGTTGGGCTCATCCTCTGTGGGTGCTGCCATGGGCCTGAAGGCGTTGAGGAGTGGGGGCCCGGGAGCATGCAGAAAGAAGAGCACCCCAGGCCTTGAGTCCCTGCAACCTCCCCTCCCCACTGGCCCCACGCCCAGGTGCCCTGGGATGCCAGCTTCCTAGGCTCCCTGCCTTTCATGCCCCATGCTTGCTCAGCCAGCAGAGCAAACCACTCCGGGCGCTGAGCACTTGTGGTCGGCTGCAGCAGCAACGGGTGATTGTGGCCCACAGCTTCCGAGAAACCTTCGAGATTCTGTGCAGGCTTTCAAAGAAATATGTGAGCGGGAACTGGCAACGTGGCAGATCCATCTTCTGTCCCTTCAGTGCACGGAGGAGAGAGCCTCCCTCCCTCACACTGAAACATTGTGATGCTGTTTGGAATTGCTGTGACACTGTTTGGGAGGGTCGGAAGGCACAGGGGGAACCCCCCAACATTTGCTCATCACTTAGTGGCTGTTACGCACACTCCTGAGCAGGCGGGAAACCAGCTCCTGAAACCAGAAGTCATGCCACATGGTGGCAGCAGTCTCAAAGGAAAGGGTCCTCCTGGTTGTCCTCTGGAGCTGTCACAAATGGACCCCTTTTCTTGCCAGCACCAGGGAGTGGGAGCTCACAGCAAGGCAGGATGAGGTTGAGCCCCCGTGGGCTGCTTGGCAGAGTGAGGACCCCCCATATCTAGAAGTACCCAAGTAGAGGACACATGTGTATCTCAGGGCACCCAGGCAAGGTGGCCAGCCTGGAGTGGCTTAGCCCTGGATGACCAGAACAGCCCTCCAGGCTGACTGCCCCGCCTCCTCCAGGATGGCACCGTGTTCAGCAGATTCTGAGTTTACCAGAGCTGCCATGACTCCCTGAGTGAGACACTTCAGAGCCTGGCCTTCTTATTTTTCTGCCCATTCTAACCTACAGTTGCATTTTCCCCTAATTCTAATGCTGTCACTCTCCTTGTCCTGGTACCTGAAATAGGCTGTTCATGCATGTGCAGTTGTGATTCTAGAGCCTGTCCATTTCCTGTCTGTGGCACCTGGCCAGGACGGAGTTGGATGAGGCTGTGGAAAATCGGTCTCCAAATCTATATTGTTTTGTTTCCACTGTGTCATTAGCTCCTGATTTCATGACACTTGTCCAGCTCAGTGCTGAGCTAAACATTGACTTTGTAGCTCTGTTTTTGTCTTTTGGTTACCTTTCTGTTTTTCAAGAACAACACCGTGCATATAAATAAAATGCCAAAGGAAATGAAAGTAAAGGGGCAAGAAGTTGTTTTTGTTTCTCTGCTTCTTTTCTTTTTTTTAAACACGGTAAGCTTTTCTCCCTCTGAGCAGGGTGGGGAGGCCGTTGCACGACCTTGCCCTTTCCCAGCTCTCTAAATCGAAGCATCCTGCTTCTGCATGGCTTTGCTAAGGGGAGCAACAGCCAGTGATCTGATCCCACAGGATCTTTTGGGAGGCTCTCCAGTCCTGCACTCTTAGCCCACCCCACCCCCACCTACCCAAAGAGATTTTTCTAGACAGTATTGGGCCTAAGTGACATTAGCTTGCTTCAAAAGAAAATTCCCTCAAATATATTTTCAGGGAGCAGTTGAGCATACAAACAAGAGTCTAACTTACTTATTTTACCACCATCCCTGGAAAAAAGCCACCCTAAAATACTTGGTTGGTTGTCAGCCCGTTTTTAGCAACTTTTAATCATTTCTTTAAAGCCATGCATCCCCATTGAGGGCTGCTTTTGAAAAGCTCAGAGTCTTTTGCATTGAACAGTCCTTGAAACAGTGAACCCAGGCTCGTCTCTCCAAAGCTGCCTTTCCTAGTGCTTTTCTGTCTTTTATTTTAAGCACGCTTGACTCTCACCCAGACGAGGGAGTGAGCCTCTGACAGCTTTACTAAAACCTTTCTAAAAATAGCTATTTTCCTTGAAGCTGCTGCCTGAGTAGGAAAGAGTTGAGTCCCAAAGGAGACTTCTTGGGAAATTTGAAGTCATGAAATTGGGATTTGGAAATGATGCAGGTGTTTCGGTGCTAGGAGTGACATAATCCACTGTGTTGAAGAGCCAGGCATTTATGGTTGGAACCCTCTCACCTTGGAGGGAGCCAGTGGGCCCAAGGCAGTCAAACACAAGAGGGAGGCACCGACTCCATGTGGCCTGAGACATCCCTGGCCAATCTGCAGGGTTGGCAGCATGTCGCCAGCTGTCATAAGTTAGAACTCCAATGCTGAGCGTACGCTTAGTTGTCCAGGCCCTGTTGCATGACCCAGAGGGTGGGGGGGCTCACCTGAGTCATCAGGGAGCCAACCCCCACCTCCTGCCCCTCGGGCCATGCCACCTGCTGCCAAGGGCTCACTCCAAGTCTTGAGACACAGCCCAGCAGGCAGTGCATGCCCAGGGGCACCCTGAGACTCAGGCGTTGTATTATGAAGCTAAGCTGCAGCATGACTCCACACCTCCCTCCTTGAAAGGCTTTGCAGACAGCGGGAGGCAGCAGAAGTGAGATGTCCGTCACTGACAGGGCATCCCCGGACTCTTGAAGGCATCAAGAAGAATCCCAATCACACCCATGTACTTGGCATAATAACAATTGTGCTCTCTTTGTGCCAACTTTGGGTGCCAATGGAAGCTCTTTATATGTTACCTTCTTTCTTTCTTGCCGCAGTCCTGAGAGCGAGGGCCTGTCATGCTTGTCATTTTGCAGAAGAGGAAACTGAGGTACAGAGAGGTCAGAAGGTGGCAGGGCTGGGATTCCAGCCCAGGCAGGGGCTCCTGACCAGGCAGATGTTCTAGAAGCTCAAGTGAAGAGTTTTTTGAAAACTTTAAAAGAGACCTGCTGGGCCGGCCCGGTGGCGCACTAGAGAGTGCGCCGCTTGGGAGTGTGGCGGCGCTCCCGCCGAGGGTTCGGATCCCATGTGGAGACCGGTTCCCGCTCACTGGCTGAGCGTGGTGTGGGTGCAACACTGAGGGTTGTGATCCCGTTGCCGGTCCCTGGTACGGGTGCGACACCGAAGGTTGCGATCCCGTTACCGGTCAGTAAAAAAGACAAAAAGGGGGAAAAAAAAATAAATAAAAGAGACCTGCTGACTCTTGCAGTTCAAAGGACAGTGTCCATGGCACCCAGTGGAGGGGAGCACGAGCCATGAGGGACGGCACCCCCTTGCCTCACCTCAGCCCTGCGAGGCCCGGGAGCCGTTCTTGTTCAGAAATGAGCCGATGAGCTCAGACCCTGTCTTCCTTAGGAGGAAGTGCCTTCTTCCGTCCACTGACTCCTCAGCCAGCTTTGTCTCCTGCCTCTGTCTACACTCTCCTCCATGGGCCTGAGGACAGGGACAGTCTTCCCAGAACGTGGCACCAGACCTACCTTTGAGCCAAGCTACCAGCAGCCGAGGGCAATGCCAGGAGCCCTGGCCCCAGAGGCGGATGACATGGATTTCAGCCCCAAATCCACTGCTGACCTCTTTGTGTGATCTGGGCAGGCCATGTCTCCTTTCTGTGCCTCAGTTTCCCTATGTGTAAAGCAGCGGTGATGACAGTAGGCCTACCTCCCAAGGCCACTGGGAAGATGAGATGAGAAGATCAGCCCAGAGTGAGCGTCTCCTGTGGGTGGCTCCTGGGAGCTGAGTGGGGCACCAGAGAAGGGGGGATCCAGTGGGGCTGTTTGTGCAGAAGCCTTTCCAGGCCCCTCCCCCACCAATGGGCCCTGCCACTCCCCTGCTGTGGTGGGACCTGGGAATGAGGGGGTCTAGGCCATAATTTTGAAAGACACAATCCCAGGCACTATAATGCAGAAAGATCAAAACCCTAAAGTGTAAAATCCCAAAAATCACAATCCGAAAAGATTAAAATCCTGAACGTTGAAATCCAATGTTTTTTTTTGTTTTATTTTTCTTTTTTCAGTTGTTCCCCCCGCCCCCACCACACTCTCTCTCTCTCTCTCTCTCTCTGTCTGTCTCTCTCTCTCTATTTTAAATTGTCGGCATTACTTTTCATGATTCACTATGCCGTGTTCATCTTCACATCATTTCCAATGCCGGAGTTACAGATACTGTGGGGATCTTTAGAGAGTTCCAGTTTGTCTTAGGTAATTCTTGCATATTTGACTCGACAAAAGTGCATCATGACAGTGTTGCTGTGTGTGTAAGTGTTGTGCATGCACGTAAAAACATTGACATTTCCTCAGTAACTGAAGAGATGTCCCTTTTTTATGCCTGTGTTTGTGAAAGATAAAATTTCTCATGATCTTGGCTCTTTGGGCGACTGCATATGCAGTGGTGACCCACTGCAGTTCTTGATCAGTTGTGTCAATACTTAGCTTGTCTGTTACACTATTTCAGATACTGCAGGTGTGAAGCTGGGTGCCCGATTAACAGCCCTAGTGACATGTGTTTGTACATTTCATCTTTTGATCTATTTCTTCGTGGTTCATTTGTTCATGACTGTGATACCTTTGCAACTGCCGTTAGTATACCTGAGAGTTTCTGCTTGTAAAAATTACCTATGTTATTGCCTACTTACTGTGTAAAGGGGCCTGTGAAGTATTCTTTGGTGTTTTTATATATTTATCAAATCCCCTTTTAAGGATGTAAATAAATGTTTTCTTAAATTTTTAAAGTTATTTTTTTCCAGAATTATACTCGTATTTTTGGGATTTTGTTCTTTCGGGATTGCAGTTTTTGGGATTTTAGACTAGGGATTTTGTTCTTTTGGGCTTTTTAACATTTGAGATTATGGCATTCGGGATTGTGTCTTTCAGGATTTGGCTTGGCACCGGAATGAGTAGGGATGGCTGCCTCTTAGAGCCCGGCCTCCTCCCTGGTCTGTGTGGCTCTGCCTAGGTTAGACGGCTTCGATTCTTTGACAAGCTAGAGGCAAAGTCAAGACCCTTCTCCCCACATCCCCAGCAATTTGTTTGGTGCGGATTATCTAAGAAAACCCCACCCATGCACTTCTGTGTTCTTGCTGTCTCCTGTTGCTCGGCCTGCCCTATTGGGGAGAAAGTTACAAAGTCCCCCCTCGTGGCTCCTCCCATCCCTGCTGCGACTCCTCCCTGCCTGGCCACAGGTCTGCTTCCCTGTTTGTGCTCTTGGGAGTTTTTATCATCGTTTTTATTCCTATGTCTGCTGACTCCTTTTGTTTTCTATGAGCAACATATCTCTTTGTCCTGTACTTTCCTAGTTATCTTGTATCTTAGTAAAAATGTGTTATTTTCTGTAATACTAAAAGTGAAGTTACTTTCTATTAAATGTTTATTTTCTGTTTAGTAAAAGTGGTTGCCACTCCTCTTGCCCCCAAAGAAAGTGATCCCATTCCACTCCCCTCCCCCGGGCCACCAGCCCTGTGCCAGGTGGTGCTCAAGGTGAGGAGCAGAGCATCCCGCCGGGAGGCACTCAGACAAGGCTCTGCCCGCTGCAGGCTCAGCTGCACAGAAGTGTACACAGAGGAGGTGGCACATGCCTGCCGTGCAGGGGGCAGAGGCCTGAAGCCTGTCACTGTGGCGTGGTGACGAGTGCCCCATTGGGCTGTGGCAGGGCGTCCCAGCATGCATGGTTGGCAGGAAGGGGTTCCAGGGAGAGCTCTAGGGGCAGGAGTGGGGTCCAGCCAGTCTCTGAGGAGGAAGAGGGGCTCGAGGTGGACAGGGTGGGCCAGGCTCCCCAGAAGGAGTCTTGTGTGAGCAGAGGCCTGGAAACTGGCTGCCAAGCAGTGTCCAGGGGGGTAAGGGGTTCCAGAGGCTGAGTCGTCATCGTGAGGGGATGGGGGTGACTTCAGGGAAGGGGCTGAAGAATTGAGCAGTGGGGGGCAGGCATGATGAAGGCCCTGCATGCCCTGAAGAGAGCTTGGAATTTACCTGTAGGCATCGGGGCTATTCAGTGTTATCTACCTGTGCATCTGCCTACCTATCTACCTGCCAGTCTATCATCTCTACCTCTACCAGCCTATTTACCCACATATTTCTACCTCCTCTCTCATCCTTTCCCTTTCCACCCTAACCCCCCATGCATTCATCAATCCATCCGTCCATCCTCACATCCATTCATCCGTGCATCCGTCCATCCTCACGTCCGTCCGTCCGTCC